TTTATCAGAGCCAATCAAAATGTTTGTCAACCTCCTAATGACATCATCAGCCTCCTGAAAGGTGACTTCATTCACTGTCAGATGTCAGCTGAAGTCCTGTGTTGGCAGGAGAGACTCCTCGCTGCATCCATGTTTACGCCTCCTCTGAAGGCTACGTTTGAAAATAGACAAGTTTGTTTTAAATGATATAATGACCACTAATCTCCAAACATTGTTTACGTTGGGTTGGCCTTCAAACAATGCATCCACAAGAGGACGTGGTTCCTGTCCGCTCTCCGCCCAGCTCTTCTGTTGTCATCTTCTGTCCGTGTTCTTGGGCGAGCTAATAGCATATACTGTATATGTTCATAGTTCATAACACACTCACACAATCTTTACTCTAAAAGTTTCAACATTTTCAAATATATTATTCTTTGTTGTGTTTTGCTGGTTTGTCTTGAACTGTTGGCGACACTGCTCGACACTGCCCCCTCGATATCCGGTGGTATTGCAGCATTAGGTTTGTGTCTGTAAGCTTCCAGAAAATGTGCAGGAACAAGATGGAAATGAACTCAGAGTATGGACAGAAGGCTCCTCCATCATACTATTCCTTTCTCCTCCTTCAGTTAAATATTTTCTCGCTTGTAGCCACCTTCATCTCAGTCGTGTTATATTTTGCTGTTCAAGTTCCACCTCCTCTTGCTACATGTCATAATTTTTGTCCTTTCCATTTTCATTTTTGTCCTCCTCCACCTCCATTTCCCCCTTTAACCCACCTCATCCTCCTCTTTCTCTTCCAAATCTGAATTTTTGTCTCTCTTACCTCCTCCTCATTCTGCTTAACATCTTCTTCTCCCTCTCCTACTCCTTGTCATCTTTTTTCCTCCACACTTCTTCCTAACCTCCTCCACATCTGCCTTGCATCATTCCTCCTCCTCCTCCTCCTCCTCCTCCTCCTCCTCCTTACCATCTGAAACTCGTTCTGCAATTTTGAATGTTCTCCTCCTTGTTCCTTCATCATGTGAGCGTTTTCTTCTCTATCACTTCTTCCTCCTCTTCCTCATCCTCCCATGGTGTCCTCCTCCTCCTCAGTGATGAAGATGAAGCCAAAGCGTCTCTTTGTTTGTTCAGCTCGCCTCCGTCACTCTGACTCACCGTGTTTGTCAGAAAAGACAAAAAGAAAAGATGTCTGAACGTTTAAAAAACAGAAATAAATGTTTGCATTACATTAGACATTTTTTCTTTCGTTGTGAAGCAACAATTTTTTTCTGGTAAATTACTTTTTTAATGCAAACACTAAAGGACTTTCATTTTGTCAATTTATAGCTTTGCCTTCTTAAAAAAGTCGGGATGTTTCAGAGATTATTTTGTAACACGGAAGGACATTTTGTTGTCATACTTTTTAGACATAATTGAAATCAAATTGTTGCATGAGGTTGCTTGTTGAATTCATTTTTTATTTCACAGCCAACCACATTTACCCGTTGACAGTTAACATGAATATATCCCAGTGTGGTGCAACAATACACTATTCGGTAACCACTTTGTTGGAGCCAACATGTACACCCTTCATTACACTGTGGTTGTATTTATGTGTTATTCTGACACTGAACTGCAGGGGGAGTCTTGGGTTATGCTCAAGCATCAATCTCCGGTGTCCACTAGAGGCTGGCTGCAGAAGCACAGGAAGTCACATACACACCCATTCTAAAAAGCCTGTTTTTTACAGCAGAGATTAACATGTTTACAGCCTGGTTCAAAAAAACAAATAGTTCTGATTAGCTCATGTCTCGATCACCACACACTGTACTGTGGTGAATGTTTTGATGACTCATCAGTTTTGATTTGATGAAGAATAAGAGTTATTCACGATAAGGCGTGTAGCTGACCTGATTGACAGGCGGGCGCAGTGTAACGGTTTATCAGGAGGCTTCAAACCCGTCTCAGCTCCAGCTCTCAGCCTGTCGTTAGGTTGACTGAAAGTTAGACTGAGACAGCGTTTCCAGCATGGAGACCACCATTGATGGGACTCCAGCGCCCCCTGCAGGAACGGGCGATGTCACACATATTTACAGTCTATGGTTGAGTCTCAGAGTGTTTTAAACAAATGCAGCTTTAATTTAACTCTCAGTCTCATGTCTGCTGGATCGCTGCCTCTTTAAACACTCTGCGCTCCAACATGAACCTGAGCTGGTGTTCACACTGATGGGATGTGAAATCCCCTCTAAAGCAGTTGATGTTCATTCAGTATTCATTCAACACACACACACACACATACACACACGCGCACACACACACACACACACACACACACACACACACACACACACATATATTATTTCTTCTTCCAGCAGATAAAAACAGAGCAACTCAGCCGGCTTTAATTACCGTCACATGGAGAAAATCTCCGGAGAAAAAACACGTAGGAAACAAAGAGATGATTACAGAGAACATGAATACTCTTTTTACAAACAACTTAAATAGAAAAATGGCTGATGTAATTTGGGATTACTTCAGAACACCTTCCATGTGTTTCTGAGGTGTGTGGTTGGTTTGTGGCGGTTGGTGCATTGTTCTCTGGGCGGGGGGGGGTTGGGAGGGGCACAATTCCTCTCAGATAGACCAGGATGTATTTCAGTTTAAGCCTGATGCTAACATGTACCTGAAAATGCCATTAACATGCTAACAGAATTAGCATTGCGATTGTTTTAGCTATTTTACTGAACATACTCAACAAACAACGCAGTATGCCCTCGTACTTACATACGTACGTTTACTAAACTCTGCAGAGACAAACTTTAAAACTTTAAAACTGCTGACTCATGCACATCTGGTCTGCTGCTCTGATCCAGTGACGCTGCATGTCTCACTCTTTATGTCTCAGTTCATGGGGCATGTCTCTCTGCTGCCTCCTTTTGGGTGGTGGTGTGTAATGCATTCATGGACGCATATTTCATACTCCCATCGAAGCGTCTCTCTCTTGTATTGAAGAGGAGAATTTTACCATTTTAAAATTATACATGTGCTTTTAGCCTTTATTGGAAAGTAATCTTATTCAGTGAAGACCAGAAATCAGCTTAGCCGGGCCTACTGCAAAATAACCACCAACATTTTAGTAGGCGGTTTCCAAAACAGGCGATGAAAAAGGCAGGAAACAAAACTACAAAATAAAACAGGAAACACTAAAGACTAAACTCTGAAATATTGTGATAAGAGAAAGACACACAAGGAAGGAAACTGACATAATAAAACAGGAAGTAATCAAAACACTAAACTAAACTAAACGAGATCACATCCTGACTCTCTGCTCCTCTGATTGTTTCAGACTTCAATGTCTAAAGATGTAAAGATGCAGCTTTCTGTAGAACCCTGACACTGTTATGACCTCTCGTCTGGGGGGAGTCAGCGTAAGAAATTCAATGTTTCTGTTCTAAAAAGAGAGTGAGTGCAGAGTCGAGCAGATACCATCACTAAAGTCAACATCTGTATGTTTTATTAATGGAGCAGAAATCTGTCCCTCGTTAATAATGCACGGAGACTTCAGGACGACCCGAGATACAGAAGAGGTGTGTTTCCCTCCTGGCATGAATCCATGATAGCAGTTTCCCCCTGCTGCCAGTCTTTATGCTAAGCTAGGCTATGTGTGACGGCTGGATGTTGGACTGCTCCTTTATGTCCTCTATCTTTATGTTACTGAGGATGCAGTGAGTCAGAGGAACAGTCTGAGGTCGAGAGGAGCTTAAAGAGAAACATCTGAAAACGAGTGTGTGAAGGTGACAGAGTTGTGAGGATTAGATTCTGCAGGGGTCTGGGGACTACAGTTGCAGAGTTTTGGTCCAAAGCTTTTAAAGGAACCTTTGCTCTCCTAAGGCAACAACGTATTTGTGCAATTTAGACAGTGTGCAGGAATTCGCCTGCTCTTTCTGGTAATTAAAAACAAGACCAGTTGCTACTAAGGTAGTGCGACTTGTTGTTGAAATCGGGGACTAGCTACAGAGTTGTTGAAGTTGCTGCTGCCAGTTCCCTGCAACCTGTCATTACAGAAAGAGTTTCATGCTCCTGGTTCTGATTCATGCTGGAGCTTTATGATCAGCTGTAAAAAAAATAGATGTAAAATCTGAATTATGAAACCAGCAGACTCTGATTACCTGTCTTCCACCTGAGGGCTCGTGTGTTATTCATGAGCAGCAGCGTCCCCGAGCTCCTACAGGATGAAACATCTTTAACTTGTCCGCTGTGAGCGTCTCACAGGAGGAGCATAAAGAGCGCTGGTTTTCTGTGACAGATGGATGTTGTTCTACGTCGTCCCGCTGTCGATTCAGCTTTTCTATAAGAGGAGGGATGCACTGATCGAGCTCCAGTTTGAATGTTTAATGAGCTCAGGTACTCAGGTGAGGGAATCAAGAGACGACTCTGAATCATAAAAGATTCAACTCCAGAGAATCACAAATGAAATGAACATTTTTAATAATTAAATAAAAAATTAGAAGTGTCATTACCACAAAGAGACAAATAGAGAGTTCTTTAATTCACACGTTTCAATCCGTGAAACAAGATTAAAAACACGTTCTGTGGGGTCAGATCTCTGAAAATCTGAGGGAAATAATGGTCCTCAGAAAACTCGACTGAGTGAGACATCCCAACAGCATCTTCTTGTCCTTCCTGCTCCCCAGAGGACGAGCCATCTAGGATTTCAAACAGGACTTCTGTACATTGCTTGAGAGTGAATTGTCTTATTATTGTCGTGTAAACAGCAGCAACAGATTTTTAGTTCATGATGGTAATCTGTCGGGCCGTTGTAGGCGGGGGAGGGGTTGTTAACTAGTCCCTGAAATGCTGAAACTTTACCAAAGTCTCAATAAGTTTTAACGATTAAATGTGAAGTTTTTTTTTACTTTTGAAATCAAACGGGAAAGGTTAAAATAATCTCTGAAGCCAATCTGAAGCGTAATGTTTCATTTTAACATCAGATATTTTCCAATGTTTCAGAGAATGAAGTTTAATAAAATCATGAAAACAGATTTGAACTTTAAATGCAATGAACTGTTTATTTGTTTCCACAGAGAGAACGGCTGTGTCACATTTATTTATCGTTTAAATTTAACATCTTAAAACATGACGAAACATTTATGAACCAGATCGACCGACTGAAGCTCCATCAGACCGTGTTTCTGCCACACGTCATCCCTGATGTTTCTTTCTCTTTATTTTAAACATTTGTTCAAAGTGTCTCCGCGAACACTCATGAGACGTCTGAGTGAAGCTTCAGTCATCGTGTTCACAAACAACAAACAGCTGCAAACAGATCTTTAATCTAATCTCTACCCCGTGTAGGGAAACCTGAGGAGCGTACCCTGTCCGGGGCCGAGCCACAGGTTCCTGGGGTCCACGCTGCTGTCTGTGGGCAGCGCGCTGTTGTTGGTGCTAATGGTGACGGAAGCCTGCAGGGGCAGCATCACGCCACTCAGCTGTAGCATCGCCGACTCCTCGGCCCAGTTAAACGCCGCCAGGTAGCGAGGGCTCTGATCCCACATGCGCAGGTACACCAGCGAGGAGGAGGAGTTAGAGAGGAGCAGGAAGTCACCGAACATCAGGGAGCGCTCTTTACTCCGCAGCTCACTCAGGGTGCGGAAAAACCTGCGAGAGGACAAACGCTCGGCTCGCTCCTCCTAAAAATACAGAGAGAGAGAGGGCGAGAGGGAGAGTGAGAGAGAGAGAGGGAGAGAGAGAGCGAGGGGAGAGAGAGAGGGCGAGAGGGAGAGTGAGAGAGAGAGGGCGAGAGGGAGAGTGAGAGAGAGAGAGAGAGAGCGAGAGGAGAGAGAGAGAGAGAGGGAGAGAGAGGGAGAGGGAGAGAGAGGGAGGGAGAGAGAGAAAGAGGGCGAGAGGGAGAGAGGGAGAGAGAGCAAGCGAGAGAGAGGGGGAGAGAGGGAGGGAGAGAAAGCAAGCGAGAGAGAGAGAGCGAGATAGAGAAAGAGAGAGAGGGAGAGGGAGAGAGAGGGAGAGAGCAAGCGAGAGAGAGAGAGAGGGAGAGAGAGAGAGAGAACAAGAGAGAGAGCGAGAGTGAGAGGGAGAGAGAGAGCGAGAGCAAGAGAAAGTGAGAGAGAGAGAGAGAGAGAGAGAGAGAGAGAGAGAGAGAGCGAGAGAGAGATAGAGAGAGAGCAAGAGAGAGAGAGAGAGGGAGAGAGACAGGTCACTGAAACTACTCGATGAACAGCAGGATTATACATTTTAGCACCGGCTCCATTTTTCAAGCCGATTCTGATTCCAACCCTTTGATCATTAATGTAAATTCTTTAACTCCAGGTGTCAGGTGTATGATGTGACCGTTTACCTGCAGAGTCCCGTTCAGCTCTTCATCAGAGTCCCAAAGCATTTTGGGAAACTTGGTGCCCTTAAACAAAGACGATGAAAGGATCGATCAGAAGAAGACGACATGATCAGGAAACATGAATCATCAGAGGTTGCCACCTGCTGGTCATTAAACACACTACACCAACACAGAGGGACACTTGGCGTGTGTGCAGCATCCTTACCTCGTCCATCAGGCCGATCTCGTCTCCATAGTTGACCACGGGTGTACCTGGCAGCGTGAGCAGCAGCAGCAGGTTCAGTCGGGCCAGAGCCGGCCCCACCAGCGATGCCAGATGTCCCTCATCCCGTCCCCCAAAGCTCCACGCCAGCCG